ATACTTTGTTTTGAGAATATTGTCAGGATGTATTGTATTTGACTCTTAATTTTTTATTTTAATATTTTTTTATTAAAAATATATAATAATTATAATGAATAATTGTCTTTATTAAAAAAAAAACCGACAACCAACTATTATGGATTACCATTCGGGAAAAAATAAAAACCTATTATGGAGTACTATAATACTCTTGAATCAAAATTTTCGGCTTCAACTTTTTAAATCTAAAACATTTACTAATCTATAAAAAAAGATAGAGGAAAAAAAAATTTATGGAAGATATAGGAAATTACTATTAAAAAAATAAAGATGGCTCGACATTTTAACATTAGGATTACTAACAAAATTATTTAAATATTATTAAATAAAATTTTTTCTGTATTAATTTATTAAACATATTTAATAATATCTTCTTCTTTTTTCATTTTTCTAGATATATATATGTATACATATATACCATCGATTATTTTGGTAGTTGGTATAGTAATGCCTGGTACATGAGCAAGTTATATATAGGGTAAGAGAGGGAGAGCAGTTTACTAGCCAAAATAAATATAAAAAAATACACATGTATTGGCCCCGTCTGCTGGTTAGTGGTCAGAAAGAGAAGGGCAACATCATCTCCTGTTAAAGGCAAAGGGTCAAGAAAGAAAGAAACAAAGAAGAAAAAAAAAAATGAAAAAGAAAAATCCCCCACTTTAAAATTTTCTCTCTTTTTCTTCTAAAACTTTGCCAGATTTGTCATTCGCTTTCCCTTCTCTGACTCTCAGGAAGACAGCGACACATCCCTCTTCCTCGCCATCCACATCCCTTAATTAGTCCCTTCAGAATTCTTTTTCTTTTCATTTTTCCTTTTATTACTTTACTTCTACGCAATTAATATTCAATATTTTCTTTATATATAAATATATCAAGTAGCTGATGATATCATCGTGGATTTAGGGTTCATGAAACAGTGTGTAAAGTACTGATGGATGATGAAGAAGAAGAAGAAGACGACGACGGAGCTCTAGGTAAGTAATTAATATGTATGATCAATATGAGGGTTTTTAACAGGAACAGGGTTCTGGATCTTAAATGTGTTATCCTAGCTTGCTAACATTAATTAATTACTCCCATTTTGGTTGTGTAAATTAATTTCTTTGTTACTGCATAAAAAGGGGTGTGAATACACTCACTCCTATTTGCATGGTGATTTTTCATATATTTCTGATCTGAGTTGAGTTACTGGCATTATAGAACGATCCAAGTAAGGCTCCAGTGCTCCGTGGGGTTTCTGATGACACCATTTTAGCAATTTAATTATAGCCTTTTCCAGAAAACTTTCTCCTCTCCTCTTCTCTCCTTATCCTTGGTAATTAAAAACATTGTTTTTTAATTATAAACTTAGGGTTAGGGTTTATTTTGAATTTTGATGAGTATTCACCCCTCCTTATCTATTTCCTTTTTTTTCAGGTTGGCTATATATAATTAAGGGATTATTATTTGATTTCTAAAGCTATATATATAAGTATGATTAAATTTGGCCGCAATTTCACCATACTAACCTTCTTGGTTGAAATTAATTAATAAGAGATTGAATTGTTAATATTATATATATTAGAAATTAATTATAGGAATATTTGGAAGAAATTAGTGATGAGATGAAAAGGATTTAAGAGAGCTTCCTTCAGTCCACTCATGGATGGGGTTTAGGGTTTGAATTAGCTGCCGACTCATTCATTCAAACACATCAGATATAGTCAAACTTATTTTGCTGCTGCGAATGTGTGAATGATGCGGCAGATAAATTTCATCCTTGTCTTCTCTGTGCTTGGACTGAAGGGAGCTCCCTTTTTTCCTTCCTTTTTTCTAATTACTTTGTTTTTTTTTTTTTTTTATCAATGTATATTGTCTTTTCCTTCTTGTTTTTTAATTTCCTCTCATTAAAATATACTATATCCCCTTTAATTTTAAGTGATATAACTATGTATCAATATATTATACAACCCTTTGTACAATTATATAAGACTAATTAATTTAATTGCCATGATTTTCTCCCTGAAATCCTATGTTTTTAATTCTTTTAAGCATTATTTGTTGATCATGAATTGGGTAATTAAATTTAAGTGTTGCATTATCAGATTAATTGTGTGTGTTTGTGATATGTTGATGTCAGTACTATAGGTGCATGTGGTAGATTAATTTTAGCTATATATATATGGAGCAATTATAATAAGATAAAGACATATATATGTTATAATTTGTTTCTTTGTTTTGTTTGGGAGGAGAGAACTAAGGACGTCGTTTTTTCACTTTTGATCCTGAAAACCATAATAGTAGTGGATGATCTTGTTCCAGCTGCTTCTCCTCTCATGATAAATATCATTGCCATAATCGTGTATTCCTTCTGTTCCAGTTGTATAAAAAGAAAGAAAGAAAGAAAAAAAAAAAGGTAAGTCGAAAGTAGAAGGAAATGAGAAAATAACCTGCTGGTTGAAATGTTGCATTGTTCAGAAAAAGAAATACTGCCTGCCTGCCTGTTTGCCTGCTTCCAGCTCAGATTATTGGAGATTAGATCAGACATGAATCACAAAACCCTGAGTCCTGAACAAGCATGCCATGGCCTGATGGCCGTAGGATTGGATTCTCATTACCTTCTATGTTAAAAGCTGAAAACACTAGTGAAGCTACAGTGCTTGTCTCTATGCATTAGTTGGAACTTGGAGCTAGTTAATTTGTTGGCTTTCGTGTACCCTCCCCTCCCTATTCAATTTCCATTTTTTTTAAAAACTACTTGTAGTAGTGGTGGTAGCGTATAAAACACTACCATTGCTTGTATTAATTGTTAATATCTTCAATAATTTCTCGGAAAGTGCACAGCAAAAACGGCTCCCTCTTAATTTCTCCATCTTTCCTGAAAAACATCATGGATATATATATACTATAATACTACTAAGCCTTTTGACATACTAGTATAGTAGCTAGTAGTACCATAACAGCTTAATTAATAAGATTTTGTTTGAAATAATTCTTGATGATCACTGTGTAGGGGATCTCATAAAAGTCATTTTTAATCTTTTATAAATGAACATTCGAGTTGGAGATTTAAATCCCACTTACTCCTTATAATTCCCCGGCCCACCTCCATCCATCCATCCTCACAGTTACATATTTAAAAAAAAAAAAATTGAAATGCAACTAATTAAACAAAAAAATAGTAATAATTAATTAGAATTAGATTTGTCTTACTAAAATGTGGAATTGTTGACATACCATGCATGAATCTCATCTCATTAGCACTCTCTTTTCTTTTTCCTTTAGTTATTCCTCAGAGAAATGGGAATTGGGTGGTGTGCTTCTGCCGACCACCATCCTATATTATATGATACGTTAGATGAAAGTGAATGAACAAACCATAATTAACATCCATAAGTTAGGACGCAAGTACAACTGAACTGAGTTTTTTAATACTTACTTTGTCTACTTCCAAGCTTGTCTTCTTCCACCATCTTATTTAATCCCATCCGCAAACCCTAATTAATAAAATAACCACATAGATTTAATTTAATTGGGAGGGTTCATTATTGTCCTTTCCTTTTATTTCTTTTTTCTTTTCTTTCACCAATTACTATCATGTATCTCATTTTCCTTGAGTAACACACTTGGGTTGGGCGTTCAATTCAGGCAAAATGTTTTTTTTTTTTTAACAGTTTAATATAGCAATGGTTAAAATAGACAAATACCATACCCTCTCCTCCAAAAATTGTATCAGTTCAAAAAAATTTTGAAAAAATGTTTAAGTACATTTTAGTACTAATAATTTACTGCATGACAGGTGTCTAACACTTATTAGGTTCTTTATGTAATCATCATGTGCCTTTTGAATTGGGCCCCTAGAAAATCAAAAAGCATTTTTTTTGGGAACGTGCGGAAATTGGGGAGCGGATAAACTGCAAGGGGCCGCCCATTCGAACCATGGACGTGGCCCATTCCATGTTGGGGGGTACATACACCCATCCGATGCATAAAGCACTACGTTTTTTTTTTTTTTTTTGAACATTTTGTCATGGGATCG